CCAAGCGTTGCTGGCCAACCAAGCCTGGCGTCTTCTGCGTTATCCAGAGAGTCTATGTGTGGGTGCTTAAGGCAAAATACTATCCTGATGACCAATTATATGATACTCCCTCCGCCCCGTTGGGAAGTTCCCGGTTTGATCTACACACATATTGAGGAAATAAACTTACCAGAAGGTAAATTTTAGGGGTTTTTACTTGGATATTACTAATTTTGAACCAATTGTCCAAAAAGTGACCACTTTTAAAAAGGGGCAAAAAAGTGATCAAGAAGGTCATATATGTGCAATTAGAAAACATTATGTAACTGCAAAAATTTTATGTCACTGCGTGTTCGTTTTTTCAACTACAGTAATCACCCATGTCACTACAACCACCGCCCGTGTCACTATAACCACCGCCCATGTCACTGTAGCCACCGCCCGTGTCACTGTAGCCACCGCCCGTGTCACTGTAGCCACCGCCCGTGTCACTGTAGCCACCGCCCGTGTCACTGTAGCCACCGCCCGTGTCACTGTAGCCACCGCCCGTGTCCGATGACTTTTCCTGCGATTTTTCCAACGACCCCAGGCCACTATCTCCCTCCGCAACCCCAACCACATGTGTGTAATAGTGATATCTAGCCTGACAACATCACAACAACACCTATATTGTCCCACCATGCTCGGAGCAATCGTACCACAGACTCCGGCCACCACTGCGTAAAATTGTGGCCGCCGCCATCTGACTCACCTCAGATACCATTGTCATCGCCATCTCCCAGCCTACCCTCCCCAGCCCCCCTCCAGCCCCCTCCCTAGCTTCCCATGCCCCTGATCCGAATCCCGCCCCCAGCCCCATGAAAAATTCTACGAGCCCCCTTCTGAGCCTCTCACCTTCCCGTACGCCGTCGTAACCCGACTGCGCAACCACCAAAACCCTAGGATTTCATTCTTCCCCAATATCGCCCTTACAATCTCATCCTCACGATTTGAGATCGAATCTGAGAAGGAGCGATGCAGACAGCACGACGGCCATGGAGGACAGATTTGTGTCGCTGGTTGTTTTCGGTCAAAAATCTCAAATATTGGAAATCCAACCGATAGATCTTGAAGAGTATCAATTTCCGACCAAGGAACAACAAACAAACTTGGATTTAATCGAGTGGATTTTTGTGAAAGAGCAGTCGATTTCAGCTCCAACGATGGAGGAGAAGAGGAGCGATGGCGGCGGCGAGGCAACAGAGGACGGGACGAGAAATGAGAAGGAGAAGAAACGCCGACGACACCACTCATTGTTATCGGCGGAGTGCTGCTCAGATGGACACCAGATCGAAGGGGTACAGGAGGCCGGCTAGGGGTGGGAGCGAAAGATCGGAAGATAAGTTGGCGTATACGTTTGACGGGCTTTTACTCTCTTTTTTGTCTAAAGGAAATTTGGTCATATTTTGATCTAATAAAAGTCCCCAACTAATAGTTGTGCCATTCTTTCTAAATTTTACTGTTTTGGCACTGTTTCGACACTATTTGGCACTGTTTGACACTATTTTGATGTGGGATAACTTTCCATTTAGGGAAACGGGAACTTCTTTTTGGGACATCTAAAAAAAGGAAAGCGGGAACATCCCAACAGGATGGAGGGAGTACTGTTTTTTCAGCTGGTGGGGTCCCTTTCTTAGCAGGGAATTACCCATGGTCTCGAGCTCCTAAAGAAGGGGATCATATGGCGTATTGGCTTAGGAGTTGCTGTGGATATTTGGCGTGATAATTGGATACCACGTGATAATGCTCTTAAAATTTGTGGGAAACGAAAGTTCACTAGGTGTAGGAAGGTATATGACTATGATCTTATTAATCCGGGTGAGGGGAGCTGGGATGAAGCCCTCATCAGAGATAAGTTCTGGCCATGGGATGCAGATGCAATTCTAAAGATAAAGTTGCCACATGAGTTGAGAGCAGATTGGTTGGCATGGCATTATGAAAAACATGGGCTTTTCACGGTTAAGAGTGCTTATCGTCTAGCTAACACAAGTCGTCTCGTGGCTCTTAGCACAGGTGAAACCAGTGGGGGTGGCAACGGTGAACGAGGCATTTGGAAAGTCTTGTGGAATACTAAAGTTCCCCAAAAGGTTCGCATTTTTGGTTGGCGTCTAGCTCGAGAAGCGTTAGCAACACAGTCAAATCGGCTACGGAGAAAGCTTATATCAACGGCCAGATGCTCAATATGTGGAAGTCGAGATGAAGATGGATTTCATGCTATTGTGGAATGCACGAAAGCTAAAGCCCTTTGGGATAATGTTAGAGCCTACTGGAAACTACCCCCAAACAAGCTATTCAGGAAAACCGGTCCGGAATGGTTCCTAAACCTCTTAACTGGGGTGGATAAGAGGATGCGTGCTCAAATTCTGTTGTTGTTTTGGAGGGCTTGGTTTCTGCAGAATGATATTGTTCATGGTAAAGGTAAGGTGTCCATCGGTGCTAGTGCTAGTTTTTTTATCTAGCTACCTGGATAGTTTTGGTTGTTTGCAGCAGGAATCAGACACGGGAAAAGGTAAAGTTGCTTCTGTGAGAAGGAACGGCCTCAGGAGTATGACCCCTCTCTGGAACCCACCGCCTCAAGGATGGTTTAAACTAAACACGGATGCGAGCTTTGACCCGAAATCTGAAGAAGCAACGACCGGATATATCATCCGTAATGGTAGGGGTGAAGTCCTTCTAGCCGCATGGTGTAGACTTTCTAACTGTGTTGATTCTGAGGAGGCAGAAATCCTAGCCTGCGCCGAAGGTGTGAGGATGGCCAAAACTTGGGTTAATATGCCGATTATCATTGAAGGTGACTGTGCTGCGATTTTTTCAAACCTGTCAAACACTTCACGAGATGCATCCAGAGTTGGGATTCTGCTCCATGAGGTGAAAGAGATGGCTGTTATGTCATTTTCGGAGGTTCGTTTCAGCTGTGTGAAGAGGGAAAGTAACCGAACAACACATGAATTAGCTCGGTTAGCTAAGAATGATCAGGAAGGGGGCTCTTGCAGCTTGAAGCGCCGCCGCAGATTAATGTTTTTCTGTGAAAAATGATTGTAATTCTGAATTGTTTTTATCAATAATACCCCTTTTTCCTCGCAAAAAAAAAACTATTGCCAGGGCTGAGCGTAACGATTTCAATCATAACGAGTCTAGCTTAACGAGTTTCGAACTCGAACCTGAGCCGAGTTTTAAGTTCGAACGATTAATCAAGCCGAGCTCGAACATAATAGTATTCGACTCGGTTCAAGCTCGAACCTATCAAACACCCTCAAATTATAAATATGATTTATATGTGTGTCAAAATTTAAATGAAATTAGTATGATTTAATGGATTAAAATATGTTTTAACGAACCGAATACTTGTCAAATAATCCGAACACGAGCGTATTAACGAGCATATCAAACTTATCAAGTGCTCGATTCGAACATTGAACACCTATTGACGAGCTTCAAGTTTGAAGTGTTCGGGCTCGGGTTGACTAGTTAATGAAGTCAAGCTGATTTCATCATTAAGTATCTTATTATTAAGTTCAATAATAAGATTTGACGTCGAGTAATTGCCCCATATAATTTTTGTTATGTATTTAAATAGTTGTGTCCTGAATAACTAATTTTATTGGATTACAAACAGGGCAGATTGGTTTTTTTGGGGGGATCTTGGAAGTTGGAACCGAAAAAATAGACGACAAAACTTCCAAAGGGAAAAAAGTTAGTTCATGGGGTTATGTTTGCCAAGTTGAAAAGACTTTCCCCTCAAGGCCTCAACTCTAACCAAAGTCCTCATTTTGACTTTCGGGCACCAGCCACTAAGAAATGAAAACACCGTTATGGTTATATTTTATATGCTATCTATAATTATTAACTAGAACAAGTGAACAACAACATTTAAGTCTTAGACTTAAAAGATATTGGGATATAATTATTAACTAAAAAACAAAAAAATACTTCCTCCTTGGATTGATATTATTATAACCCCAATGCATCTGCACAAAAAAATAGTTGTGCATATATTTGTTTTGATGATCTAATTAATCACAAAAGTAAAAACAGACATTTAAAGTCTTACATAATCCCTAATTATGAGTATAATAATAAAGGAGTATATAAAGTGCAACTACAATAATATAACTATTTCAAAATTACTTACAACATTCAATTATTTGTTAGAGGTTTTAGGGAAACCTCTTTAAATAGAAGAGTGTATGATGAGTTCCTTAATATCCTTATCATGTGCTCAGATCCTCGGTCCATGTTGGTTCCCAACCCTCATTAATAGTGCAAGATATAGTTGCCAACAAATTAAAAAGAAGTGCATGCATATATAGATCAACCTTTTCAATCGACTGATTTTGATATTTGTTGATTGTCATAGAATATGAGACAATTATTAAAAATGACACTGTGATAAGTTTAAATCTGATTGGAAAGAGGACATGGACGTGCTAGGAATGCAAATCTCAATCATCTCTGATATTGCTTCAGGACATAATTTTTTCTCCAATGTCCAACAACTTCAGCATTGCTTTGGAATTGTGAAGATGACCTGATGTTGTTCAAGAATTTGATGGCTTTCTTAAGTAAATTTGATATTTCTTAATGAACAGTCAACCTTTGGTAAAATATCAAATGACTTTGATGGCATTGAAATTGACTAAATCGTGTGAAACTGATGAAATTGTGGTCAAAATGACTGAATTTGCTTAATGTGTTGAATTGTGAAAAAATTATTTTTAAAATATACTCCCTCCACGATCTCTTGTTCTTTGGCATTTTCGATTGTCTTGTGTCAACTCAAATTTGATCGGGTTGAGCACAAACCCGACAGGCTTAAGCTGCGGTTGTCACTTCCAACCCGAGCGAGTTTTGATTCAACTTGACTGGGTTTTGTTACATCACTTATATTTATATTTATCCATCCTCTTTTGGTATCTATAATACCCTCTTAAATTCCTTTTGATTCTTACAACAAAATACATACAAAAAATAAAAATTGCATCCTATAAAATAAATCTAAAGAGTAAATCACAAACTAAACAAGTAAAAACAACAAATAATCATAAAATAAAAGACATGTGCATATCAAACTCCCCCATGCTTAGTATTTTACTCGTCCTAAGTAAAGTCAAAGTTTAGTTCCAGAATGTCTTAACAAGCACAATACTTAAGCAATGTGTTAACAAAATCACAATCCAAGAGTATCAAAATACACATGAACAATATTCTTCATCCCTTGCTCCTTTCTCCATCCTTTTGGTGTAGCTCATACATCAACACTTTACATTCAAAATCAAAATACTGCTAGACAGGCATGCCACCAGAAGGGTTCGCCTGGTATCAACATGCCATAAGTTTGAAGGACATTGCAACCTGCTAGACAAAAACAACCCATCATGAATCAATATTTAAAAATTATTGCACTCACCTCTGTCCCAAATTAATGTTCATTTAATCCAGTTCTTTTGTCTGAGCACAACTGCAGTTCTAAGTGTTCAGTGCATATTTTTACTAATCTCCCAAATTTTCTCATATCAACATTTCTAGTTTTCTCACCTTAACAGGCTTTCTCACATCAAACGTTGAATTTTAAAGCAATAGAACAGTGTTTGAAGATGCTGCTCTCTTCACATCATAACGCTGAAAGTGGAGGATCATAAATTAAGAATATAATATGACTCCAGTGATAAAGATGGAAATGGAAAAGTAAATGAATGAACCTGCTTCCCAAAAGAAAATGGCAAATATTTGTATTTGATCATGTGCAATATCTGTTTTCTCATAATAAGCATGAAAAAGACGACCCAATAGAAAAGGAGGATTGGCCAAAAGACGGGCACATTAAACATGCTGAAGAATGTCAGCGTTAAGGCAATGCAGAATGCTTTTGTAATTGAATACCTTCAAACAAAAATTAGCTCACCAAGTAAGATACATACCAGAGGAAAACTTGCAGCATAATATGGCGAAAATTCTTGAGTACATTATAATTAAAATAAGGGAGGGAAAAGAGCTGCAAAACTAACGGGGGAATACTTCAGAAAATTACCAGAGTTTGAACTCGGGGAGACGACGAACGAAGGGGCGGAAATCGTCGGATTGCCGGGTGGGTAGGGTTGGACCGTTTGTAAATTCAGTTTCCGGGTCAATCTGAGGGGAGAGAAACCCGATGAGGAGGTGAAGGATATAGATTCCGAGGACGTAGGAGACCATGAAGAAGCCTTGAAGTAGTAATACTCGCACTGCGTAAACCAAAGCTATGGCGATGAATGCGATCCAGCGGTAGAGGAGGTGCGGCATAGACTGATCGAGCAAGTGCTGGTATCTCTGGGATAAATAGATGCTAAACCGGGTCACTTCATCAGACGGAGTGATTGCAGCTGCGCCGCTGTCTCCGACGGTGGCGCCACCGGCTACGCTGCCTTCCATCTGCTCTATGTCCATCTTCTAATCTGCCGCTGAAGCTGCTCTATCTGCAATCACGAAGCTCTCTTATAGTCTTATCGCAGTTTTGCTTCTGCAGTTCTGCATTGATTTTGACTTGCGAAGTCAACAGAATATGGCCGGGTTCAATTTCTCAAAAACAAGGGCCGGGTTCAATTTCTCAATTTTACGGGTCGGATCACAAATTTATTGGTTAGTGATGTATTTTCGGCCGGCAGAAGAGGAGTTTAATGCATAAATGTAATCTTCTGATACATAAAAACAATACTACTACATTTTTGTACTCCATTTTCCCGCTCCACCTATCTATCATTGAGACTGTCTATTTTCCTTCAATCGTAGTTGTTACTACTGTCAGTTTTCCTTCAAGCGCCGCCTTCAATCCTTCATCCTCCACCGACTCCATGACCTCCATCCTTGCTCCACTGTATTCGTCTAAGCCATAAATAAACCGCTTCACCCTTTCACCTTCTATCCTTTCTTTTCCTTCGGTAGTGTTATATACTAAGAGATTGTCCTTTACTCCGTTCACTCATCTGGCGATAGGAGCAGCTATGAGATGATCGAAGTTTCTGGGATGCGACAAAAGAACAGACACCTAGGCTTCCTCAGCTCACTCAGCCTCTGACAGAAGCAGATGTCCCTTGTCTTTGCAAATTGCAATCCCTTAGATAACACCCATCAATTCTCGGCCTCGGGTCAGCTCTCTAATTTTTTTAATTTACGTTTCATATAAATAATTGTTGTTTCACACACATGTACAAATATTGATGGAGTCTCGGTTCTTTTATGAATAAATGACTTTATGGTATATGTATTCTCTATATTCTCCATATGGCATGTTTGAAAAAATGCTTATTTGATCTTTCTTTGATAAAATGGTTATGCTTATGTGATCTTTCTCTTATAGTTATGAATGAATGATTCATTTCTTGGTTGAAATTTATCAATTTACAAGAGTGCATATTTTAAGGTTCATGTGGTTTGGTTAGGAACTTAGCAAGTGGTCAAAATTACTAAATTTATTTGAAGCAATGTCTAATTCCAGTGCTTTATACTACGTATAACTGTATAAGTTTTGGGATTAGGGTGAGCCTTCACTTGTGACTTGCATGACGAGTTCACTTTTGATATATTATTCCAAAACGGGCATTAATCCAAGATGCAATTCCAATCTAACATGCAAATTTAAGAATAACTTTGAGGATCAGTTTAGCTCATCTTTCTTTTGTTTTTTAAATACCATTAGGAATTATAAACCTCCCAGTTAAGTCACATTAACTCTATTAATAAGTTGTGCCTAGATGTTTATCTGGAATGTTTTGCAAATTGTGATTAATTGAGAATAGAACATGGATTGATATTTACTTTGAATGAATTCACAAGATATATTCCATGCTGCTATACAATGAAAAACATATACGAATTGATGTTTACCTGGAATGGTTTGCAATCTATTTTGAAATCAAGATGATGGTGAGAATTAGTTATAGCTGAATTTGGCACGTATCTTTCTTCCCGAAAGTGGCATCTTGCTTATTGGTATTGTTATTAGGTCAACCTCTGCTAATATGTCATCAAGTTAGCCTCTGCTTATTGCTATTATTAGATCACAATATTCTTTTGAATTTTGTTCTCCATGCAGGTGACACATCCGGTTGGCCATAGTCATGGACTCGGGTCGGGCCGCCCCGCCCAGAACCGGTACTGTTTAGGCCCGGCCCCCGGTTATAGGACCAGTCTGGGCCGCCCGAGCCCGGAATTAATCGGGCCGGGCTCAGGCCTCCTAAAAGGGGAACCAGCCCGGTTTGGGCCCGGAACCAGCCCGGCCTTTTTTTTTGGTTTTTTCAATTTTTTTGTTTTCTCCTGGGTTGGTTTGGGTGTTTTGGGGGGGTTTGGGGGTGGGGGGTTAATTAGAAAAGCCAAAGAAATTTAAAAAAAATAACATGAACCGGCCCGGCCCGGAACCGAACCGGTGCCAACCCGGGCCGGTTCCTTCCCAAAAAAGCCCAGCCGGGCCCGGCCCGGAACCGGAAACAGCCCAGGTCCATGACTAGTTGGCCATATTGCTATATTAGATCACCCTTTTGCTTTTGAGTTTTGTTCTCAATCGAGGTCAGATATTTAGGTCAGCCCCTGCTTATTAGTATTACTAGATCACCATAATGACATAGGTCAACGTCTTCTAATTGGAACTTTTTACTGGTAAAACAGAAGCAATGTAAATCTGTTCTTCCTTCACAGACTCTTCTTTCCGTGATATCATCATAGAAGTACAAGTTAATTACAGAAAAGAAAATGTTTCTAACAATTAAAGCGGAAAGCTCTGGGAACTAACAGATGGATACACAAAACGACAGCTATCTAATTTGATCCGGATATCTTAATGCAGGCTGCACTAATAATCCTCCTCAATCCTTACAGATTGTGTAGTATGAATTCACCAATCTAGAAGGGCGTGCTTGTATAAACTCCAAAAAATCAGTGGCGGAACTGTGGAAGCCCCCGACTATTTTGAAGGAAAATACAGAAAGATGTACTGTATATAGTGAATATAGGGTCTGTACTTTGTACATAGTGTTCACTGAAAGAGTTGGGAATTGCTACCGTCATTTTATTCATAGTCTGCCAGAGGTAGGCGGTATCCTTCACCATAAAATGGCACCAGGCTCAACAAACTTGTGGAACCCGTCGCTTTTAGGATGTTTGACCCAACCTGGAAGAGCTCCACAATTTTCACAGTCACCCCCAGAATCACAGGGCCCTAAAATGCACCAGAAAAGGAGGGTGAGAGTGATTTGGCCGCCAGGCTTCTCTTGTTTCCCCTCTAATTCCGCAAAAAAGAGCGTATCATCATCAGCACTTCCATTTTCAGGCCTAGCAATAAAGTTGCAATGATAGAGGAACGTGTGATGAAATAGAGATGGGCAGTTGATACACTGTAGTGGCTCAACAAGCTTGTATTTGGGACCCTGCATAGGGAAATCACAAGGGGAATGGGGTCTTAGACACACACCAAATGCATTTGAGGAGCTGATTATACTGCCCGAACACTAATCAAATTAACTAACCTGTTCCTCCTCATTGATGCGTGATAGCGCAGACAATGCACACTGATGTGTCATACAACCAGCCCATCCATTACCGATATATACTACTGAGCGAGGAGGGCCTAGACTTCCGGTGGCGCTTCCCTTTCCCCTTCCTCTGCCCCTGCTCCAGTCGTCAAAATCATTTATTATAAAGATCAAATTTCAGCGAAGGCAGCACGATACAGAGGGATTGAAATTGCAAATCAAACAAGTAAACAATGGGTTGCAGGAGAAATCGAGCAACCACAACTCAATAACGGATCAATAAAAAGATCTAGAAATTGAACTCACCGACGTTTGAACACAGATTCCTTGAAAATCTTCGTGCCCGTCCTCATCCGCAGGGCCTTAGACCTCACATCTTCACCCCCGTCCTTGGGTCTCGCCTTCCCCGTACTCCTTGTATTCATCGATTCCGAATCTGTCTATCCCGATGCCAATGGACTCGTATATACCTAGTGGGAATGCAAGAGGGCGAATTATATTTTTAAAGGAGTTAGGAATATCGGATTGTGAATGGACGAAATTAACCCCTCAACCCACCTCTCCTAGTAGGGGTGGAAACAGGTCAGGCCAGGCTTTCGCCTAAACAGGCCGGGCCCGTTTAAGAATGTATAGGCCTGAACTTACGTAGTGAAAAAATATTAAACCGCCACCGGACAAAAACCCTACGCCAGACCTATACGGCGGCGCTAGAGAGAGAAACTTACGCAGTGAAAAAATATTAAACACTCATTATTCAACTGAATCTTTGCAGCGTCATCAGAATGCATAAAAGTTATTGACGGGCGAGGAGAGCATGTTACCTGTAAATGATGTAGATATTCTGAATATGTCATCATCAAATTTACAAAATAATGAAGGTTTACCATCTTGATTTTGTTTTAATATATACTACTGTATTAATTATATTTATTGTTTATAATTTATACGTAGTATTTAGGAACGAATTTTCTCTTTGTAGTCACTGTGCATGCGATTAGTTTCATAATATTTATTTTAATAATTTTAATTCCAATCCACAACTATGTTTTAGCCCAAGCTAGCATAGATGCTTTTAGCCCCAATTTCGTACATAAGATGATTTTAATTGGAAAAAAAATCTGATATAGTCTATTATGTTTAAGTCTTATATAGTCTTTATTATTTTGATCAAGAATTAAAAAGTAATAAAATGTACATATACCAAATTTTTAACGTACCCAGTGGTAAGCATCCTAAATTATCTTATTACAATATGACAATTTGCTAATTTATCTAATAATTCAAGAACCAATGTAACTTTTTATCAGACCTTATCTGTGATGCAACGCCTACAATAGGTCAACAATTTCATTCGCTAAATGATGCTCAAACTTTCTACAATGCATATGCAAAGCCGTTCGGGTTCGGTACTAAAATAAAAAATTCAACCGTTAATAGAACATGAGATATAACATGGAAAGCATTTACATGCTCCAAGGAAGGCCAAACAAATTTGTCTTCAAAGAAGACAAATAAAATTGCAATGGAAAGAAATTGGGGCCAAACTAGGTGTGAGTGTCACGATTTGTGGATGGTGTCACGATGTGAGAAGACCCATAACCATGAACTTGTAAGCCCTAGTAAGACACATTTGATTCATTCTCACTGAAAAGTACTCCCTCCGTCCCCCTAAGTTTGGGACGGAGGGGTGTGGTGTGGTTTTTAAGAAAAAGTGGAATTGTGTGGTTGGTATTGAATTGATAAAGTGTAAATAAAGTAAGAATGAATTTTAACCACTCAAATGTTATCAAATATGGTATGGGACAAACTTAGTGGGACGGACCAAAAAGGTAAAACGGGACAAACTTAAGGGGACGGAGGGAGTATCATTCTTCAAAGAGGGGGAATCAAATATTGAGACACATACTCAAATCAGGTTGTTGGAGAATGAAGTTGAAGGTCTATCTACGATGGGGTGCACAGAGACTGATGTATATATATTTACAATGCATCATTGAAGTCCAAATTTAATGGGGTTGATGTGAAAACCATGATTCATGAGTTTCAGACGGAAAAACAAAGGAATTGTGTCTTCTTCTACAAATTTGAGGTTGATAGTGAAAAGGTCCTTACTAGATGCTTCTGGGCTGATGGTGATAGTAGGAATGCGTACTTGTTTTTTGGCGAAGTGGTTGTATTTGATACAACGTTCAATACAAACAAGTATGGCCTATATCTTGCTCCTGTCGTTGATGTTAACCATCACCGTCAAACTACTGTTTTTTGTTATGGTTTGCTAAGGGACCAATCGACGTAATCATTTTCTTGGCTACTATCAACATTCTTAGAAGCTATGGATCACAGGCCTCACCCGAAAGTCATTTTAACAAATCAAGATGTAGCTATCGCTAGAGCAGTGGCTAATGTTGTGACACCGCACCCGGATGTACTTGAATTTCAGATTTGATATGTATTTGAATTTCCTAGCGAATAAATTCGTGTAACAGATTGGTATATTTAATTAATGCGTGATTAATTAAATTATTTATCGGGCCCATAATAATGGGAATGGTCTACCAAATATTTAGTTGGGTCATCGTAATAATTTTAGAAGTCCAATAGAATGTCAACTAAGTTTGATAAAAATGTTTGGACAACCCGAGTGCTATTTTGGCCCAACCTGCCAAAAATAGCAGGAATAATTGGGAGGGACTTCCTAGACCCACTTGGGATATTCTACAAGTCAAATAACCCCAAAAATAATAGGGAGGGGGACAAGGGAAGTGAGTGTGTGCGGACTAAAAGTGTGAGGGAGATGGGAGGAGACATATGAAAACTCCCCTACTCCACATATTATTGGAGTCTTGATTAAGGGGGATGCTTCCTCTTGCTTCTCATTTGAGAAATCTAAAATCTAAAAACTTATAAAGGCCAATGAGGGTTAGGACCTTTTAAGTATGAAAAATGTGTTGGTGAAACTTTGTAGCAACTGGTGACGGTACATTACACTTTACAATTTGTACTCTCCTTTCATTTTCCCATGTTTCTGAATTGATCCGTTATATTAAGAAGTCTGCTCTGTTAAGTTAACGAGTCGAGACCTTCCTTCCCCTAACTCTATCACCGTTCACCTTCAGTTGCATAAATTTCCGTTTAATATTAAGTTAAATTATCATTTGATTTTACATTCTAATATATGCATACCTGTAATCGAATGTCTTTAATTAACAAATGTATCATACGGAGTATATGGGTAGGTGCACGTTTGTGTATCCTCCGTGTAAGGGCACTACTTTTTAAAAATTTGTTCACTTGATTTAGTTATGGCTATCAACCACCCATTTTTTTAAAATGACTATTCTCCTTTACTACTACCTCTGTCCATTAAATCTTTGAATTACCATCTTTGACTTTTCAAATCAATGAGTGATAAAGTTTAGACCATGATTTTGATTAGTAAAGTATTTGGAAAGTTAAAGAATTTATACCTTTATGAATGTATTTTTTACAAAGAATATTTTGATATCCTTTTTATATTATTAATAAATTTCTATTAAATATATAATTGGTCAAAGTGGAAATTGATTAACCGAAAAACTCAAAGATGACAAAGTTTTAGTGACGGAGGCAATATGTATTTTCTCATGTTTTAATTATGTTTGGGGAGCAATGCTTTTGATTGATTGTGTTTAGATTTAGGGTTAGTTTTTATTTCTTTCAGCAATTAATCCTCTTTTATCCCTTAATTCATTGAGAATGTTAATGTGTAGAAATTTCCATTACTTTCTTTGATTATTTTTTATATCCAAATGATTTAATTATACACTATGAATGACTTAGGATTTCAATGACTGATTCCCCCACACTACCATTTTCTTTTTTTGCCTTTTCATTACGTTGGGGAAGCGCTAGAGTTTAATTTAATAATATGATGACAATATAAAATGTGATATCAATTTTCATGTACATGCATATTCAAGCATGGGCGTGGCGGGGTAACCTAGGCCCCAACCCATCCCAAATTTTAATTTTAATTTTAATTAGTGTAATTTTTAAAAAAATACACTAGCCAAGTCCAGTATACCGCCCTAGCTACGCCACTCTTAAGCAAAAAAATTAGTACTGTAAAACAATTAGTTTAAAAATTGTTTAAGGTAAAAATGAGTTTAAAAATATTTTAGTAGTTTTTATGGAAGTGTTTTCTTAAAATATTACTAAAGAAAAACTTATATGACTAAAGTTATTATAAGTGTACCTTTACATATCATTGTGATGTAAGAATTGAACAAAATTATACTCGGTAGTAATTAAATGCAATTAATTCACATTTTTGTATTTTATCCTAATTTTGGTCATACATTAGGTATTATTTATATAATTAATAAAATATGGTCAAGTTTTTTTTAAAGAAAAACGACTATTTATTAATAATAAAAATGATCAGTGCAAAACTAATCCTGCTAGCCTAAGGCTACAATGAGATGAGACATAGTACTAAATAGTTCTCAAATAACATAACAATTCGCTAACCCCGCAAATATGTGGACTACTCTATCAACATAGAAGCTCTTGCTACTTAACTAATAATCAATACTAGACGTAGTACTTATTTGCGATAGAAAACAAACATATAAATCGGTTTCACCATCCAACAACAAGGAAATAACAGAAAATATGGTTTGTCCAGCCACCAGAAAGAAACAACTAGAATCCTCAGTTTGAGCAGCTACTGCGAAAAAATTGTAAATATCATCGGTTTGACCAGCCACTGAAAAGAAAATCCAATCACATGTTATCTCTCATAGCACAATAGTGGTTCAAGAAGAGGGCGAATAATTGAAGACTTGGAGTCACTGATGTCTGAAGTTAACATCCCAAACAAATCAAGCAGGATCATCACTGTCATTTTGAGCTAAAAGAATATAAATAAATTAGATCAGAGTTATTTTTCCATACTTTTTAGTTATTTTACATCATAAATAAACTCATGATAATGCAAATTAAGATGATTGCGTGGTATGTTGTTTAAAAGAAAGATTGTTTATGAACTCCCTATGTGATATATAATGCATGTCCAATCGGATCAATTTAATATCCTCGATAGTCTTGTGTTTGTTTGTTCAACATTATCCAATTTTTTCTGATACTTTACCAAAATAACAATTGAATTTGCTATTCTAATGCAAAATTTAATATCTACTCTTTCTTAATTTTAAACATCCCAATAATATAATGATAATCTATTCCATGACGAATGATTTTAAAAATAAGTTTTACTACAGGTATATAACAATATCGTTGTATTAATTGCACAATGTCATTTTTTAGTTTGATAGTTCCTAAAAGATTTTTTTACACTGAGATTTCACGCTAGGTTTTTTAACAAGTTGATTCTATAAGTTGATCCTAAAAGATCGTTGTATTATTTGTATCATTCTTATTTCATAGAGTTTGATTTTCTTTGAAAAAATATGTAAATTGAATGAATTAAACTTGAATGAATTGAGAGAAATATTGAGACCCCGGTAATGGGTG